TATATATATATATATTTATAATATACATTATATATAGAATATATGTGTATACATGTACGTTTCACGATTATCATGTTACAAAGTGTCGACGGTATATAAGCTTGGAGAAAACGTTTCTCTCTGCGATGAGTTTCAAAGTGTGAACGAAATGCGAATTTCGAGTAATCGCAGCGCGTATCGAGATTGCATTAATATTTAAATGGAGAAGCGATATTATATGAAAATCTGAATACAGAAATTCGACGTAGTTCAACTATTGCTCGCAATCGAGTTGAATTTATCTTCGGTAGTAAATATAATGTAGAAATTATTATTCGTATTTCCTTTGACGAAGAAGCTCGAAAAGTGAAGATCATGCGTTACAAGTAACTTTTAGAGTTCAAGGATTTTCGCTTCGAAAGAATTTCAAAGATTAAAATCGAACAGATTGTATCCATTTAAACGTTAACGATCTCGAAACGTCTCTTGCACTTACTAAAAAAAAAAAAAACGTAAACGTATCTCATATTCAACGCAGGATAGGAAATGTAAAAAAAAAACCCCGTGGGAAGGGAAAATTTCAACTTCAACTGACGAATGAAATTGGTTTTGAAATCGCAGAAATCGGAGAATCAATGTGACGATGAGTGACGTACAGAAAAAAGTGTAATCTGTAAAAATGAAAAGCATCGAAATTACGAGAGAGAGAGAGAGAGAGAAAACACGTTTCGACGGAACGCGAGAGGACAGGTTTTTCTTTCTATATTTCACGTCGAGCCGCTGTTAAATAGCGAAGGAATGCTCGAACAGGTTGCCTTTAATGTGACATTTACCGTACGAAGCGGGAGAAGCATCCAGTGCGATAATTTCGCGAGTTTCGAATCTCTCGGCCGCGATTTCCCTTAAAATTACGGAGTCTAAATGTCGGAGCGATTGTCATCGGGATAGAATCGTGTAAAGCACTTGGAGAGTCACGGATTTTCATTCAATTAACGCGCGCTTTGCTCGTGACACATTTTCGCGCGCCGATATGATTTTTTTTTAACATTTTCACAGTAAATTACAGTAGAGCCTGATTTATTCGAACGAATATTTCTCGTGTACGAAATTATCAATTAGATTTAATATTTGGGGATATATTCTTCTTTGGTCGATTATGTAAATTTTCAAACACCAACTGTATACTTTTTTGTGCTTCGAATCATCGTTGCGGAAGGCACATCCTCGTTACTTTTATCTTGTATTTGTATGTAGCGTTCTATTTTCATGCTTTTTAATTATTTCGTACTTTTTTTTTTTTTT